CTAACTGGTGGCGACCAGCAGCCGCATTAACTCAACTTAACTCAACCTGGACATTACAGTACGTCAGGAAACACTTTGCACATTGAAAATGAGAAACATTATATCATTAAAATGACTGCCCTCGCGAATTTTTGTCAAACTTCTATCCGTCGACCACTGGATGATATCCATAACTTGACGAATATTTCTTCTCACGTGCTCAAGAGCTTACTTGTTATTCGCTTGAACACGGGTTTTCCCGTAGCCTTTCCAAAAAAAAAGACCTCCCACGGCGACAAATTGTAGCATTCTGCTGCATTCTTCACAAAAGCGAGAGATTAGCCGGTCAAGAAGTTTCTCTCAGCATAAAGCGATTATATATGGTTGTCAAATATCTCCCTTCCGTTTTTTTGGTCTTCATTCAATGCTTTATAAAAAGTGTTATAGTGATCGGATTTAGTTAAAATATGCCCCGTTTTGTTCGATGATCTGTTTCCATCTAGACGGCAACTTCATAATACCTTCCTCGTAGAAGCCCCCCTCCTTATTTGCGAAGAATTCGGCCACTTTTCACAAGCCTCTTTTGAGTTCAAGTTCACACCAACAAGGGCAGGACAGGTGGTAATCACTTGGCGCTACGTCCGGGCTATATGGTGGATGCGATAAAACCTCCCATCCAAGCTCCCGTAGCTTCTGACGAGTCATCAACGAAGTGTGTGGTCTGGCGTTGTCCTGGTGGAACACTACACCCTTCCTGTTGGCCAATTCTGGACGCTTCTGGTCGATCGCCTGCTTCAAGCGGTCCAGTTGTTCGCAGTAGATGGCGTTTCAGCAGCATATCGCAGGCGTTTCGGTCCAGAAGGTTTTTTTGCGTGAAATTATGCGGCACCCAAACACCAAACTTTTTTTTTGTATCCAGCCATCTGCAGATGGTTCAAAATGGTTTGGTGACTAACTCCCATCTCCTGGGCGATGTCACGAGATGCCATATGCCGGTCTAACTCGATGTATTCCATGATTTGATCGGTATTTGTCGTCACAGGTTTTCCGCCGGCTGGCTTATCCATGGTGTCGTTTTCACCGGCTCTGAATTGTTCTTTAATTGTAGCCCAATAAAGTCGGTTTTCATACGGCCACAACGTTTTGAATTGACAGTAACCGTTGTCGTTTTCAAGGAAGTAAACTCCACGCACGTCTCCGCGCCTAAGAATGCACCAGGAAGAAAGTTGTTAAGGGTTGGCTTCTCTTCAATTATTTAAGGGACTCTAGGTGCCCTAAAAGCGCCAATTTTGCTTCCTTACGTATCATCCGAGTGGTAAAGACGACTTGTTGCTGAAGTAAAATTAAGAAAGAAGCTACTTGTTGTTTAAACACGTTAATTTGGTGTTTAAACTCTGTACGACTTTGTCAATGGTCAGCTGGCTTCAGTGGTTGTGTTAGCTAGACATTATATGTATGTATGTGAGGTGTGAGCTCAAGTAGAAAATACGCCATAATATGCCATAATAAAAAGTCCAAGCTCTTGAGAACGTCGAGAATCAACCACGCCCGAGTCTCCGACAATACTTTCCCTTACAGTAGTGGTATTGGAGGTTGGTTTGGAACGAGCAAAACGATGATGCACAGATCCCTCCCCCTCTAACTGATGCATTCTCTTACCATTTCATTGAATTTTTATCAATTGCTTGAGCAGTTGGACGATCATGTGCGCTTTTGAAGCAGGAAACGTAGCTAAAACCAAACATTTTTAGTTTGACATCTTCTTCTTTTTATTGCCTTTCGCGATAATACTGGAATCAATAATAGCGCGCTATTCATTCTTTCTTTTCGCTGTTTGGCGCTGGTTTGAAATTGCTCTTGAACTGATCCTTCCAACGGAGCGGAGGTCTTCCTCTTCATCTACTTCCACCAGCGGGTACAGTATCGAATACTTTCAAAGCTGGAGTGCTTTCATCCATTCGGACTAGTCAGCGTATCAGCCAATATCTGGTATAACTGGTACAGCTCATCATTCCATCGTCTGCGGTACTCGAAGTTGCCAATGCGCAAAGGACCATAAATCGTTCGCAAAGTTTTTCTCTCCAAGACTCCCAAAGCCGACTCATCAGTGGTTGACATCGTTTACGCCTCTGCACCATATAGGAGGGCGGGTATGATGAGCGACTTGTAGAGTTCACTTTTCAATTGTCCACTCAGTCCAAAGTAGCGCCAATCGGCTAGAATGATTCTGCGTTGTATTTCAAGGCTGACATTATTAATGCTGGTCTCGAGATAGTCGAAGTTATCTACGACCTAGAAGTTATGCCTATCAACAATGACGTGGAATCCAATCGCGAAAGCGATGACTGTTTGTTTGATGACAGGAGATCTTTCGCCTTGCTCTCGTTCACTACTTAACTCACATCCTGCCTGGAGATAGCAGAACTCACGGCGCGGTTGTTGAGGCCGATGATGTCAATATCATCGGCGTACGCGAGGAGTTGCACACTATACACTCTAATTTAGCTCTGCAGCTCATATTATTTTCTCCAGAAATAAATTTAAGAGCCACCATGTCTGAAACCTCTTTTGGTACTGGGCGGCTCGACAAGGGTATTTTCCAATTCTGACTGCGCTTGCTAGGAGTCTAGCGTCAGTAACAAGTTTTACGGTAATACCAAATGCAGACGTCCTTTTCGTCCTGTCGAAGGCGGCCTTGTTTTCGGCGTAAAAGTGGTGGGTGTCGCTCCTCTTTTCACGGGTCTTTTCCAAGATTTTTCGCATGGTGAATATCTGGTCAATAGTTGACTTACCAGGTCTGAAGCTACGCTGATTAGGTCTAATCACTTTGTTGATGGTGGACTTCAGTCTTTCACACAAAACGCTCGACAGGACCTTATAGGCGATGTTGGGGCTTATCCCACGGTAATTGACGCAGACTGTGGGATCGCCCTTTTTATGGATTGGACAGAATACACTTAGGTTCCAATCGTCGGACCATATTTTGCAATCAAGCATGTATCTTACCAGTTTATATGTGTATGTATATGTCAAAATGCAGCGAGGTACTTGTATTAGCACGAAATGGATAACCCTATGTATTTAAAATGTATCTTTGTATTTCCACTACCAATTAATAAAACACAAATCAAAACATGCTTTGTTCATTTATATATACATATGTACATATCTAGTACAAATAATATCTGATATGCATGGAGAAATGAAATTGAATGAAATACGTGTGCAGCAAGTTGAAAGCAAAGTGGCAAGTGAATGACGGCAATTTTTGGAAAACAACTAACAGCAACACAAGACAATTTATTGCAATTGTTGACTTTGTTGACACACAAACTCATATAAAAGCATTCCTTGCCTCCAAACAATACACAAATATATAATATACATGTGTATGTATGTGTTTATGTATAAGCAATTGTACATGCAATTTGCATTTGGTAAGATGAGAATTTGTTTTCCGTTTGAAGGATTTAGGTCAGTCACATATGAACTTACAAGTGAATGCATGAAAACGGCAGCCAGGAGAAGAAACAACAAAAAAAAAACAAAAAAAGAAGAAAACAAGCCATGCAGATTTGACATTCAGAGAAATTATTTTTGAAAAGTCAAGTCTAGGGAAGGAATTTTATAGGTCTGTATGTAAATGTGTGCGCATATTTATGCAGTGAGTGGATTGCTAAATTATTGTTGTTGTTCATGCGACTTAACGCACGTCTGTTTGTATGCAGTAAGTACCCTCAAAACAATTTTACACCATATACCCTTCTGAGTGGTCCAATAGGAACTCCTCTGTAGTGTACTAATGGATCAACTCACGTCTCGTTACCGAACTGTTATTACCCGATGATTGCTCGTGTTTTAATGTTCGTAATTACTAAACGAAGTGGCACAAGGAGATTCATACTCGTGTTTTCGTTTCGCTGGTGGACGTCCAAAAGTATTTTTGTGAACTACAAAGTTGTAAAACTAATTTTCTATATGTACGAGGACGAGTATATGCGAGTATACAATTGGCGTAACCGTTGAAGCGATTTTCGGTGGAGCTCCGCTTTCCAACGAATGAAAGGACCTACAGTTTATACTAAGCCCCCGCCGAACTGTTGATGGTTTTTCTACGAGGAGCCTTTATTTCATGTCAGAAATATACTCGAAGGGGTTGTTACTGCGGTAGCCCCCAGTTAGAAAATTTAGCTTAATTTTTTAGTTAAATTAATTTTCTATGACTTTTGGATATTGGTCGTACCAGTATTTGAACCCTGACCTTCCAAATAGCTTCCGTGGACGAAATATTTTGCAGCGGTGGTGGTCCAGCCATAGAACATCGCATTATCATTTATATTTTTTATATGAATTGGTGGTGAAATTCAGATTACACCATCGTACGGGGGCAAACCGTAAATCAAATCTACTATCGCCAAGTAGTCGAAAGATTGCGAAAACGAGTCGACAGCATGCATCCATACATCGCTCGTAACTGGATACTTCATCACGATAACGCGCTGTGCCACACCGCTCTCAGTGTGTCCCAGTATTGACCCTCTAAAGGGATTGGCGTGTTGCAATAACCGCCATATTCGCCCAACATGTCACCCTGTGACAAAGGAACCCATTTCGAGTCAATTGAGGACATCCAGGCGGCCGTGCCGAGGGTACTCGCAGGCAAAAGAAATATCACGAGGTATGCAAAACGCGCTGGAATCGTTATATAGCTGCCTTAGTTGACTATTTTTATAAATATTTTGATGAAAAAAATTCAAACTCCGGTTTTTTTTTATCATACCCTGTGTGTGTGTGTTTGCCACTGAAAACGATTGTTTTCGCGTTGGGAAATAATCACTATCAATTTTCTTATATAATTTCTTCTGCTCAAAACATTTTTGTAGCTTCTCAAACAATTCATGGTATTCGGATCGAATCAGTATATTTTTCATTCCTAAAAAGGCAGATATTATTTTAGGAATATTGATGTATTTGTTTATAAAAAAGATTAAAACTCAATTATTTCCATGTTTTTCTTGCAGGAGCGTTACAAGTCGGATATAAATTTAGCAATACAACTACTACAATGTAAGCCTGATAGTTTTATGCCACAGAAGGTGTCATCGGTAAGTGAGAAAATAATTATTTAATTTTAATTATTATTACTTAATTTAAAATTATTTATTTTAGCCATAAAAAAGTATTACTTAGATAAAATAAACAATTTTTTAACTCAAAAAAATAAATATTTCATTAAAATACTTGAATAAATAATTTATTTTTTATTTAAAAAAAATTCTCATCACAAATAGACTTACTCAATAGCTGTACATCACTTGATTTTTTATAAATATTGATAATTTAAATGTTTACTAATATCCACTCCTTGAATATCTCACACTTCCTCTCCTCATGTGCGATATATGTATGCGTGAATTAGCTGCCGGTTGACATACAATCAAAAGTATGCGCCTACATGCGTTTGGATACGAATTCGCATTCTGATTCGGAAGGCAGCACCAGCGGTGTGGGCACCGCCACCACAGCTTCCTATAAAGTACTTCCAGCATCGGACTCACCGCCGCCAACCGCATGCCCCTTCCCGCCAACAGCAATGGTATACTCAATGCGGGGGCTTGGTAAGTGTTAGTAATCCTTGATTTTAGTTTTTTTGATTTTTATTTCTATTTTTTTATTTAATTATTTACTTCATTCTTCCTTAGATGGCTTTATTTACAGTGCGTCGATATTAAATTCGTTTTATTTAATTAAATATTCTCTTTTGTTTTGGTAAAAAAATATATTTATTTATTGAGGTGAAACAGAGTAGAGAGATCGCATAAAGAGGAATGAATCCTTGAGACGTAACTTAGGATTGGGAGTAAAAATATAGTACTACAGACTTTTGTTTCGAATAATTAATTGCGAAAAATTCTGTGAAAATCCATTTTTCATCGCATAAAAAGTTCCCAAATTCTTATTTATCTATTGTGGTAATTGCTCACAGGTCCTCTTAATTGACTTAGGAAATACTTACGCAATCGGAGTCAGCAATCGTACGCCATTTTTTCTCTCTTCGCTTATCGACGATAAACCAAGACCAAATGCAGTTGGATAATTCCAAGAGTTAGGGGATCCTCCCATTCCTCTCCTTCTACGAACAGGTATTGCATCGAACACTTTTAAAGCTGTGGTATTTACTTACGCTCAGATGACAACATCAACGTATTCCTCCTCAACGTATTCTCCTACAGCTCAACGTTCCATAGCTTGCGATTCTTCGTCCCTTTCTACTTCTTAACTGGTGTAGACACCGCTTGCGTGATTAAAGCCAAGTTAACAACATTGCGCCTTTCAGTCCTTGTTTTCGCTGTTTGCTGCCCATTGGAAATACCAAGTACGGCCAAGTCCCAACGTAGTGTAGATGGAAGCACAGGACGTCACCGGCAGGTATTGCATCAACAACTTTCAAGGCTGGTGTATTCTTATCCGTCCAGAGCACATGACCACATGGCCAGCGTAGCCGATGTTTCTTCATTCACTGAACTATGTCAATGTCGCCATATATTTTGTACAGCTCATCGTTCCATCGGATGCTGTATTCGCCGTTCCCAACTCGCAACCGGTAACCTTTCTCTCGAAAACACCTTACGCTTATGCTAGACCAAAATGATGAGCGACTTGTAGAGTTTGGTTTTTGGTTCGCCAAAGTCGAGTCCAGATCCATTCATTCCGCATCCTTACGCAGTCTAGAGAAAGCAGAACTTCCGACGCGGTTTTCATAAATGTGATATCATATCATCAGCATAGGCCATTTTGTAGCTCTGCAGCCCGAATTATTTTATCTAGTTTTAAATCAAAAAAGTCGCATGATAAATATTCGCTTTGTTGGATGTCCCATTTACTATCGAATGACTCAGGGAAGGCCTTGCCAATGGTAAGGGAGCTTTTTGGCGTTGTTCAGCGTCTGCTTCCAAACCGTAGGGATACCAAATTCAGCGGTAAGCAGCAACTTGTCGCGCTATCTAAGGCTGTTTTAAAATCGATGAGGAGATCGGGCTGGATATACCAGGTTTGAGGCCTCGACGATATGGTCCATTGACGATGATCTTTATATTTCACACAATACGCAAGGATATTTGACGCAGAAGTGAGGAGCACGTTCATTTTTGTTGTTTTGACAGAACTGCAATCGTCAAGCTTAACCAAATTTCTCGCTTTGTTGTTCTATAAGGGCATATTCGCTTTTCGAACTTCGTTAGAATCAGATCGGGGAACATCAACTCCATCATCAATGATAAGGAATTCTTCTTCTTAGCACTCTCTTTAACTCTCCAACAGAGCGCACGTTACGCTCAATCGCAATTTTACGAGGTAGGAAATCTTCTTCTCTCCACTGCGTTACGACAATCCTCATCGTATTAGCTCTTCGCCGAATACTTATAGTTTCGTTGATGGTTATACGTAGGGAGCTAGAAAATCAGAGTTACTAATGAGTTCTCTCAGAGTGCAAGTGGAGCAGAAAACAAGCTTTTTGCAGCAATTCTGACTTTTCAATTTGAATCTTTGGTTTTGTTCGTTTGCGGTCGCACTTTGCCTCACAGAGACAGGTGCATGTCTTCGCTGCGATGAGATAGTGATCCCAGTTGTTGTTAGGTTCTCAGATCTAGAACACTGATGACATGTCCTCTGTCTATTAAAACTTGATCGATTTTTTTGCGCGATTCTCGGCTCACTGCCAGCCTTTACAGTTGATAACTGCGCTTATGCTGAGTTCTAGTACTAAAAACAACACTCTTTCGATACCGGCAAGCCTGATTAGGTTTAAGTCATTTGAAAATTCTTTGTCATTGTTGCAACGAATCGCCTTTTTCTTAAGCCCAATCGGTACGCAAATCAACGTTAAGCTGAAGAACTTCGTTTCGAAGTGGATTGTGACAAGACGAAAACTCGCCGACTGAATCTCTCTCTCAGCATGAAACCGAGACCAAATTTGCTCTCTTTTGTATAGCTATTGTGGTAGATTTCATAAGGACCTACCTTCTTCTTTCCTTGGGCCGTTCAACACCCTTCTTGTATGGTTTAAGGACATCGACACCGGCACCTTCCCAGTTAGTGGGCCGGACATTCCAGGTTTAAAATGAGTTATAATTTCATTTCATTTTAATTTTAATTATAATTTTTTTGGATTCATTTTGTGTTATTTTAAGATGTGTTTAATGTTTTATTCATTAATTATTTACGCTCAGAAGTCCCACTTGAGTACTTACATGTTTACATACTCGTACACTAATTAATACAGAATTTTTTCTTCTAACCAATCCATCCACTGTTTATTTAGATGGTAAACGTACTTCGATGGATTCCAACATGAATATCAACAGTGGTAATCACAATAATAACAATAACAACAATAACGGTAATGGTAGTAATGAGAACAATAACATTAAGGAGCCATTATTCAGTAATAACAGTAATAACAGTAATAACATAACAGCCATAAATAATAAATCCTGTGAATCCAGCAGCACCGAATTGAATGCGGACATAATAACAAACAGCAATAACAACAACAGCAATATAATAACAAATTCATTGCCCCACAATAATAGTGATTCAAGCAATCCCGATATGATTTCACCTATTATAATGGCCAAGTTCCTGGAAGATGAGCTGAAAGCGAGCGAAGTGAAACACTGTGATACTTGCCAGTGCTCCAAACAGGACCTCACCGTGTTAGCAGACGTCTCTCGCTCCTATACAGTGTCCACACAAACACCTTTTCAACTACAGCTCGGCGGCGGCAATCTCAATGAGCCGCTGACACAATTGTGCCTACGTTGTCATAGCAATTTGAATTCACCTTCACGCACCAATAGTCCCTATCTAATGAAATTGGTCAAATCCAGTGATTCTGTGATTTCAGAAACGAAAAGTTCCGTATCGGATCTCAATGATATGGACAAATTATTTACGCCGGCCAAAAAGGACGATTTAATGGTGAATCCCATATTGGGTCATCATCGCTTGTGCGAGCGAACGGCTGGTAGTGGTGCATTGCAACATCAAAATGGTATTGGTGCGGCTAAACTGAGCACCACCTTACTGTATCCCACCACACATCTGGGCACTTATGGAAGTGAGAAATATACGCTGGAGACGAGTAGTAGTAGCCTCGCAGCTGCGACTCTATTGAAAAATGGCTATCAACGACGTTTCCTCGAGGGTGGCGGCACAGCGTTGGAATTGCTCAATACTGCTGTGGGCAATGGTGCTGGTACAGCAATGCAGAATATTGCTAAGAAGGTGGCAGAGCAAGTGACAGCTAAGTTGATGGGCAATGACGAGCTGGACGATGAGGCAAAGCCGCTGCTCAGCGCAACATCGCAAACTAATTTACTAGACTATGATAGATTGAAGGCTAGTGTTGGCATTGAAATGGCCGAACCTGCTTTAGAACAGCAGATCAAGTCACCAGCGAGTATTTGCAGTGCCTCAGATGCGAAGCAGAATCTCATGAAGTCGGCTATTACGGGTAGCGTGAATAGTCTGTGGAGCAGAACGAGCAGCTGTGAGGGTGCAAAAATGTTCGAGACTTTTAATAGGAATTTGATTAAAACGATTAAGGTAATCCTTCTAAATATCAATCACACAGGGTAAATAATAATTTAAGCGTTTGAGAGCTCATTACTCAAAGTATTTAAAGTAGCGAGAGGTTATCCCCCAACTAAGCTCTATGCATCTGACTTTCACTTAATCAAACGAACCCTTTGCCTAATGCATTGACCTCGACAGCAAGTTAGGCCCGTCTGAAGGGAAGGTATACACCAGACTTGTAAATAGCAACTCTGAGCTCGAGGACTCTTCAACACACCTACTAGAATATTGAATTCCCTTTGGAATAATGCAAGTAAGAGTGATTTAGTGGTAAGTCCGAAGTGCTCTAGGTCTTTTGGTATTGCTTTATGGTTTACATAGACAAGATTTCAGGTGAGCTGGGACCTCAAATTGTGTTAACATATCCGAACTCATTTGGGCTTTGTGTAGACACACTCAATTGTCGTGATTGCCGCTTGGCTGTTTACCAGGTATCCACATAATTTTTCTCTCCATGGAAGGCAGAGTGGTACTGATTCAGCTCGAAGCTACCTTGATTATTGTGGCGGTCACAGATGAACCCTGATCCATTTAGTCCCATAAGTTTAAATACGGATCTCTTCGGTACTACTGATGGACCGCTGAATCTTTCCTACCCGGGAATGAGTAGGTGGTCAGCTGTTAACGCTGCTTTATAAATAAATTGTAAATTGATTGTTCTAATGTCGGAGATGACTTCCAGGACCTTAACTGAGGTAGTTCTCATAACGCCTGCTATACCCAGTAATTGGTACGTTGCACATGTTCCAGAGTTTTAGGACGGCATTACTCCACGGGGGTTGGCCACCATACTAATCCTACATGTCTCCATTTTGGTCCGTCATTATTGATCGTAATAGCAGATGCTGATCATACTTCGCTGGGTTGAGCTCAAAGGGGAGAAACGTCTATTTGAGTTTACGACGATAACAGCGATGTCCTAGAAACGGGAGACACTGCATGAAGCCTAGCCGTGCAGGGTATTGTTGTATGCAAGGTTCTTGGTAGAACTTTGAACTTTATATGGACTCTTTAGGGCTTCACAGGCTTCTCAAAAAGTCAACCAGTACAACCTAACTTCAGCCGTCATCAGAACAACAAGAATATGGCATCTTAATACATCCTCACTCATAAACTTAATTTTTATCATCAACTAAAGACTCACTAAAAGCTTGTTTCATGAGTTAAGGACCCTTATTGACCTCGATTTATTTTCTTCCAGGCTGAAAACCCTAAACACCGTGGACCACGCCTTTGTGCTATGCGCATACAGCAGAACGGCCAAAGCAATATTCTGCTCGACAACATTGAGTCCATGGAGGCGGCAACGCCCATTATCTACAAGCGTCGCGAACGTCTTCTGGATGAGGAACTGGATGACACTAAGGACATTATAACATCCAATGTAACAACTGTATCGAGCTTAGAAATAGCAACAACAAACCAAAAGATGGTTACAGGCCTATGTCACTCAGGTGACGGGGAGAAGGAAAAATTAGAGGAGGTGAGCAGCTTACGAACGGTGCCATTAGAAGAAACTTGCAATATACAAGCGCCACATAATGAAATGGAACAACAGTGTGAAAAGACGGTTAACCACATGGACCCTAACGGTTGTGTGGCGAATAGTAATGGGGTAAGTGAGGCTGCTGATCTCATAAATAAGGACGGCGCCGGCGGAGAAACGAGTGGTGCTGGCAATATAAACGAGAGCACAACGTCTTTGATAGACTTAAAAACGCCCACCACGGCAAGGGAGTCGAGTGCAGCATGCGAAGACAACGGTAATTCAAGCACTGCGGACAGAGAATTGGACACGCGAACCACGTTGGCAACTCCGCCGCTGACTAGTGCAATGGATGCGGTGGCGACGCCTGCGCAAACAGGCACGGCAATCGGTATCACTGCCACCGCCCATCATGTAAGAAACTCCAATAGTGCACAACAAATGCATAAACCAAAGTATACAAGCACTTTTTATGCACAACAAAACGAGTCCAGCTCCAAGACTTCGCACAACTCCAAGTCCTGCACACAATCCAGTTCCATTAGTGATGCCATTGACTTCCAAGAAAGCATTATATTGCGGCGGCAGCAGCTCAATCGGGTGGCCGAATGGGTGCAAAGTAATACGCAACAATTGGAACAACAACAACAGCAGCAACAGCAACGTATACAGCAGCAGCAACAACAACAACAACAAGCGCTCAATTGCACTAACAATTGCAACTCCTCGGCGGGCATAGAACGTCAATCGTCGTACTCAACTTTGGATCCACTAGACTCGGTCTCCGTGGAGAAGCTTTCAATGGACTCAGGTTATAAGACTACACCACAACCGCCGCACACAAATGGATATCATCAAAGATTGGATGATGCGAATAAATCGACCGAAGACTCGCTATCGCCAAAGACGGATACGAATTCTAGTCTCAACAACCACAACAACAGCAACAACAACAACAATGACAACAATGGCGAATGTAAAATTGGCACACCCTTCAATCTCTATCAAACCGCAGACAACTATCGTCTGCAAGCACAAATCTATCCTACGAACACTTACTACCGACGCACCACACGTTCGGGCCTGCCGGTAGCGTACACCACACCCGATCCGAATGCGCCCAGCGCCGAAACCTTCTTAAATAACTATACTAACAACAACAACAACAACAACAGTAATAATAACGCAAACAGCACAACACCAACACTACCCGAACAGCCAACATGTGATATACTCAACTATAAGTACTATCCGAGTGATACGGATAAGACGCGCGCCGTCAGCGCCGAACTGCACACAACCACCAAACACGTGGACATCGCTCAAATGGAATATAATGTGAAGCAATTTCTGCTGAAACAGAACGAGTGGTCAATGCGTGCCAATGCAACGCGAAGCGGTCGCGTCGGCTTCAATACATCGGCATCGAATTTGAGCAGCGCCAATTCGCAGATAACGCTTAGCAGCCAACGTACGCAGACCACAGCGAAGACGTTGCGACAGTTGAAACTCTTCACCGGCCTGGGTGTGGGGCCGGGTGTGGGTGCGAGAGTACAGCCGGCAAATACAAATAGCGCGACGGCGCCGGCAGCGACAATGTCGGTAAGCGGTCGTGACGAACGCGAGCTTAACGTGAAGACGAATCCGTCGTACGGCATTGACGGAGCAAAGGTAGCGGCGACGTTAGCAGCTAACGCTTTGCCACAAAGGACTGAAACGAATTTATAAGAAAATTTAGAGTTTTAAAAATGTATTATATTTAATTACAGCTTAAGCTTAATACGTGCACACATATTTACTATAAACATACTACATACATGAAATTAAAATATACATATATATGAATATACGATATTGTACGAGTATGTAATTAGTTTTGTAATAATCGCGGCGAGAAGATGGTGCAGTTGAAAGCTTAAAGAGCTTTAAGCTTGCGTAAAAATTGCTTTATAAGCATACAAGTATAAACATGGTTGCCATTTGTACATACATACATATATAGTTCACTATTTCATCTCGTTGAATTATTTTTCCAAAAAAATAACTGTTTTTTTTTCAAATACTCATAATCGCGGCAAAGGGATAAGACATACGAGTATAAACAAAAACAATTTTAATATTTGTTATAAGTTAAGCTTTAAGGGGGAAGCTGGTCTACAATTTTGAAAAAATCGAAAAAAAAATTTTAGTCTTACAAGGTGCTTTAGAGTCTTAGAAATAACATACCCAAAGTTGGATGCCGGCAAAAATGTCTAAATGCCTAAATTTTTCATCCGACGGCAGTGTCAAGCAGGTATGCCCCGAACGACCTGCAACTTTAAGCGCGTTTTTCTCGAAATCACTTTTTTTAAACTGGCCGAAGACATAACTCGAACAAATCTTCACCGATTCTTACGAAATTTTGACGGTACATTGGAAATATTATTCTCCGAAGACCTACGTAGGATTTTTTTTTATATTACATAGTTTTTTTTAATCAACAATTTTATATCGTTTTTTATAGTGAAAATTTTAACTTTTTGTTCAAGAGTGCACCATTTCGTGAAAAAAAAAACAAAATATCGAAAAAATCCTATGTTCGTCTCTTGCTGTTGTTAACTAGAAACTAAAAAAAAACTTTATTTTTTGATCCGGGACAAAAATTAAGAAGTTTACATCTTCGGCCATGGACCCATTAGAAAAAAATGCGTCTTCGGAGAAATGCTGAACAGCGGCCATTTTCAAATTAATTCACACGAAAAATTTTATATTTGTACCATGAAACCTATATTATTAAATCTATTTCACATATTTTGGATTGATTCTTTTGTTCAGTCAAAATAAGCTCATAAATATGCCCATTTTTTTGCGCCCTAGAGCAGCTTTCCCCCTTAATTGCAGGCGATTTGGTTTCGGCGAGCTCAATATTTTGTTATACAATAAAAACAAAAGGAAGAAGTGACAGCTGTTTCGGAGATCACCACAACCCTATCATCAGTTTTTTTCTGGCAGGGATCGAACCAAAGGATTCTGACTTAACAGGCGAGTGCTCTACCCCTAAGCCAACATCTTCCATTTAAAACAAATTTATTCAGAATCGCTATATGCTTGGTGGGTTCAAAGAGAGAGATTGAGGGCCGCAACCGGCTGGGCCGAGGCCATTGAGGAGGCTCATTGTGTTCAAACCAAACACTCATACTGGTATAATTCATGCAAATGTCCACGAAATCTCTCCTTATTGCTTCTGGAAATGCTAATAATAGATTTTAAAAAAGTCTGCACGATTTTTTTTTTGTATTTTTTTTTATCAAAAACTAATTATATATAATATAATCAAGTTCAAGTTGACGTTTGGGCTATACTCGGAAAGCCTCATGGTTCCATCAATGTAGAACCTTTGTGGTTTATGGTAGAGAAACTTAGATGTCTTCCCCTAGCTCTTCGGTCGGTCAATGTTATACCATCAGCAAAGAATTGAGAAGACCGAAGCGAATAGAAATCACATGTTGCAAGCCCCGGGCGGCTACTCGCATATGGGGCTGCTACATCAAAACTTTCCAACCAAATTCCGTCGATTGTTGTCCGGTTGTTGAAGAGTTCATTTGGTCTATTGATCAATTCTGACTGTTATTTTCGAAGTTCTTGCAGTAGACACCAATATTGTTGACAGTAGAGCTCAGAACTGTGGACTTCTCAGCTTATAATGGAAAATTTCCTTCCCTCCTTCCCACATAAGCCCAGCATCACATTGTCTGCTGTCAATTTATGTTTTTAAATCACCGGATTTTGTCCATGATTGTTTTTTTGTTTTATATTCTCATATTTGCCACATTTTCAATCGCCTCTGATGAGTACCTTCAGATAAGGGTCGATTTAGTCGGGTTTCAGCAGCGTCCCTCTGAAGATATATGTTCAATCAAATTTTATTTTGTTACTCAGGCTTCGAGCTTTTTTAAATCATACCAAAAAATCACGTGAGCAATGCCTAATGCTCTTGCTATCTTCTGACAACTTGCATTTCGGTCTCGTTCCACCACTGGTTTTTTGCGTGACTGATCGACTAGAATGAAGTACATCTTTGACATCAAAATTTTCTGAATCTAGCAAAACTTTTCTGGATTTAGCCCTCACTTTCAGCATTTTCAGCACGAAACTCATAAGCGTCTGGCTTCAGTTGTATTCTTGTGAGATCGTCAAAATAGAATAGAACTATACTGGAACGTGGGCAGAGAAACGAAATGTAGAGTTTTGCTTTGAACGCTTCAAGCACTGCAGATCTCTGAATAGATCTATGTTCCAATCGCGTGTGCTTTCGACATTAGACATTTTAACCATGGTTGCCGCCTTAGCCGAAATTGACTAATTTTGTTAGCGTTCAAAGCAATCAAAGCAGGAGAAGCCAAGGAAAGCTGGCACAGCCAAGTTAATTTTTTTTATAGTACGCGGGTTGCCTTTTATGTTTCGGGATTAGAAAACAAAAACCAATATTTTTCAACGGAAATAGCCGAAGCATTTTTGACACTCACCTTTGAGGTATCTCCATAACATGCGTTCTTAACGCATCAGTCGCCTCTTCAGGTCTCAAAAAACGTTGATCTCTTAGATCATTTTTTGCTTATGAGAACAAAAAAAGTATTTAATTTGGTGCCAAGTCTGGACTAATGGTGGATGACTCATCAAATCGTTGTTTTGAGTGCTCAAAACTCAAAAAGGTGGTTGTTCCGATCGATGTTAGAGAGCTCGCATTGTTGTGTCGGCGCTAGGTTTTTCTGATTTCTTTAAATAAAATGACAAAGAAATGATTTTGTATCATGGCATGCAGAATTTACTGTGCTGCAATGCTTTAGTGGTTTGGTTGTATTTGAAAAAAAAAAAAAAAAAAACTGGCAAGCATTGGAAACGCTTTGTGCGCGAACTACTATGTTGAATTTGGCTCATTTTTAAATACCCATACTGAGGCTCATACCTGCCTCGATCTCTGATATCGTTCGTCAAAGCATCACTAGCGTATTCTCTCACTCTATTGACATGAGCAACATTAAAGTTGAGTTGACTTGATGGGCTTGCTGATCGGAGCGAGCAGTGCACTTGGGTTTGAAGGCCTGTTTTGATAACGCTGTGGAGTAAAACTTTGCACCTTCTCAGATGTATGAGCAACTTCGTGTGCTTTGTGAACGATGCGGTACTGCCAACACCAGTCGTTGCTACGTCAGCCAGGCAGTCAACGAAATAGTGATGGTCTTGGTATTTATGTATTGTGATGCTTAGGGGTGGACAGTGACAGTGGTAGTGCTCAACAAACTCTTCCTCTTATTCGTCCCTGCAGCTACGGCAATAATCATTGGAAAAATATTCTATTCTTCTATCGTGTAGACCCACCAGATTAACCAAATTCCGAAATATAAAAGGCAACCCTCGTAAGAAGTTGGAAAATGACACCTTTACATAAAGTATTTCTGAGGAAATTTCACTTATTTTCTAAATCAATATAACTTTTCACACAAATAACGATTTACAGCACTGTCTTCACGAAATATATTGCTTGAAATGTCAGCTTTCGAAAACGTGTTGCACAATCCTATTTCAGTATGAGTATTAACAACATCTAATGACAAAAAATGGTTACCTTTCATTGTATATAAATAAAAATGATTTTTTTTTAAGATACTAAATAAATTTTTTTAAATTTCATTATGACCTTAAATCACTTATGTAATACATATTTTGTTATACGACCTTTCGAAATCATTACGGCAACATCATTATTCCACGATCATAGAAATTCTGGCCTTCAACTGCCAAAAACTGAACCAAGTGCCATTTTATAGCCTCGTCATTTTCGAAAGTTTTACCTTTTAATGAGTTCTGCAAACATCGAAACAGATGGTAGTCAGATGGTGCAAGGTCAGGGCTATATGGTGAATGCATCAACAGTGCTCAGCCAAGCTCTTTCAGTTTTTGATGAGTTACCAAAGATGTGTGATGGTCAAGCATTATCTTGGTGGAATATGACACCTTTACGATTGACCAATTCTGGTCACTTCTCGTTGATGGATGTATTCAATTTGTCCAGTTGTTCACGGTAGACACATGAGTTAATCGTTTGGTTTCTTGGAAGCAGCTCAAAATATACCACACCCTTCGAATCCCACCAAACCGACAGCATAATCTTCTTTTCGTCAAGATCAGTCTTTGAAGTGGCTTGTGGCGCTTCATGCTTGGGCTATGATAATTTTCGACTGAGGTTATGGTAAACAATAAATTTTTTATCTCCAGCTATATTTTACTTCAAAAACGGCGGCTTGTTATTTTTTTCAATTTAAGTAGTACCCAAATATCTAGTTTTCTTTTAGCAGTCGAAGACGTCGTTTACGATTATGAACGATTGCTTTTGGTATACTTAACTTCTCTCCAATATCACGCTCATTTACATTCCGTTCCGATTCGATTAAAGCCTTGATATCGTCATTATCAATTTCACGTGGCTTATCTTTAAGCGAAAAATCTCCCGAACGGAATTTGACAAACAAAAATACAGTTAAATAGTCATAAGCTATACGAAAAATTGTCAATGTCGTATATGTATGTGAAAATTAAGAAAAAAATTCTTCGAAAAAATTCTCGATTTTTTCTCATGCAGACAACATAAAAATGCGAAAGTTTAAGAAAACTCATACAAACTAAGAAATTATCAGATACAAGTGAACAACATTTTTAATGAAATTTCCATAATTTAAATAATTTTTTATTTGTTTAATTTTGAAAAATTTCATGCCATATTTAGAACCTTAATTTTCAACTCATCAAATGAAAAAGTAAATAAGAAAATTTCTGTAATTGTATACATGATAGCTTATGCCTATTCCAGCCCTGCCTCATGAGCCCTGCCCCAACTTCAGCGTTAGTGAGCGCTGTAAATTGATATCATTCATATTTACATATAGAAATGCACCTAAAATATATGTATGTAGTTACTATAAATAATTGGTATAATTAAGCATAAATGTATAAATATATATATATATATATATATGTATGTATAAAGGTTTGTGTATAACATTATGAAACGTATAAATGTAATTACGAAATTAAATAAACCAAAAAAAAAA